AGGAGGAGGAGGAGGATGAGGATGAGGAGGACGACAGGGAGGAGGAGGAGGAGGAGGAGGAGGAGGAGGAGGAGGAGGAGGACGAGGAGGAGGAGGAGGAGCAGGGAGGATGTGGAGGAGGAGGAGGAGGAGGGAGGAGAAGGAGCAGCAGCAGGGGCAGAGGGAGGGCAAAACGCTGGGGGCACCCTGGGCCAAGGACGCCTCCAGCAGCCCCCGACAATGGTCCTGCCCGTGAAGCACTCTGCGTAGCTGGCCTCGCTGACCGTGTGTGGCAGCGCGCAGGGCTGGTCGCGTGGCCCCCCTCGACAACAAAGAAGGTTGCCCATCTTTACTACGCAACCTCCCCGCGTTGTGGAAAGAGCGGGGGGATATTTGTTTTTTTTCTTGCCATTTTCGGCCTCTGGGGGCCCTTCCCGCGCCTCGGGACCGTGAAAAAATGACTCGGGACGAAAACTCGGTCCCAGGGACGGGGTCCAGACCTCTGGGGGTCGACGTTGTGAAAAAATCACGACGTCGGGGGTCTGGGCTATGCGGTTTGACTGCGCACGCAAGAGTGATAGGCAAGAGTGACCTTTTGGTGCGCGGTTTTGGGGGGCGCGAGGGGGCCAAACCTAAGCTCACAGGCCGCTGCCGTCGCACCGCGCTCAGCGATCGGGGTGATCCCAGTGAGCCCGCACCAAAGGTCACTCCAGCGAAAGGTCACTCTCACACCTAGTCGACCCCCGCTTCCCAACGACCCGTCTTGTGCTCCATCCCGGGGCTTTCCCCTTCGGCTTCGGCCTCCAGGGCCAGCCAGTTGGCGACGCCCGCGTCCTCCGGGGCCAAGGAGGAGGAGGAGGAGGAGGAGGAGGAGGAGGAGGAGGAGGAGGAGCTGGAGGGGGAGAGGAGGGTGAGGTGGAGGAGGAAGGAGGAGGAGGAGGAGGAGGAGGAGGAGGAGGTGGATGGTGAGGACACGATGCCATCGATTCTCCTGAGCGATGGGCGGCGGGGGTAGGGTTGCAGATCTCGCCGCGCTTCGACGAATGGCGACCCCCTCCTTCTCCTCCTCCCTCCTCCTTCCTTATCTCCGACCTCCTCATCCTCTCTCCTCCTCTTCTCCTTGAGTCCTCTTCCTCCTCTTCTCATGCATGTCCTCCTCTCCTCCTACTCATCCTCCTCCTCCTCCTCCTCCTCCTCCTCCTCCTCCTCCTCCTCCTCCCCCGCGGCCCATCGAGCTGTCTGAGTCGCTGACCGGCGAGGGCTTAGGGCTCGGATTCCCCGGTCGACCCGTCCGCTTTCGGGCCCTGGCCCGCTGCGGGCCCCGCGGGGCAGCGAGAGAGGCATTCGGGCGGGCACTGCCCTGGGGGCAGCGGGGTGGCGACCTCTGGCTGCGCGCAGGGGCGGAGGAGGAGGATGCGGAGGAGGAGGAGGAGGAGGAGGAGGAGGAAGGAGGCGGAGGAGGAAGAGGAGGAGGGGGAGGAGGAGGAGGAGGCGGAGGGGGAGGGTGGGGGGCGGATGTGGAGGAGGAGGAGGAGGAGGAGGAGGAGGAGGAGGAGGAGGAGGCTTTGCGTCTATCTCCGCCTCTCGGGGCCCTCAGCTATCGGGCCTCAGGGCTGCCAAGCAACGACTCGCGACGATAAGCCGGCCCTGGGAAAAGAGTCGGGACTTCCAGGGGCACCGTTATGGCAAAATTCAGGGCAGCCGGATGTCTGAGCCTCCCGAAGACGACGTGGCTCCCGAGAGGTCTCGGGCGCTCACGCGGGGGGGGTGTTAGGACGGGTAAGTCCCCCTAGAGGCGGACTCAGAGGAACACGCCCGCAAAATTCCCACATGACGAAAAACAGCAGAAACATCCCCCCCCAGACTATTTGTTTTTTGACTATTTTGGACCAGCCCCCCTGTAGAGGGACAGGCCCGACGTAAGAGCAGCGTGCACCTCTCCAGCACGTGGTGCCTCTGGGGCCCGCGGCGGCAGTCTTCGGGCCGCCCTCCCTGCACCCCTCGACCCCCCCGCAGCATGTCCCCCCCCCCTCCTGCCCCGGCCTTCCGGAGTGCTCAGAAGGGCCCTCCATTACTTGGGCGCCCGAGTTATCCGGGGTAACTCGGGTCCGGGGTAACTCGGGCTTGGATTCCCGAAAAAACGAACCCGAGTTAGCCCTGACCCGAGTTACCCCTGATGATTCGGGGCTCTGGACGCCCGAGTTATCCGGGGTAACTCGGGTCCGGGGTAACTCGGGTTCGGATTCCCGAAAAACGAACCCGAGTTATCCCTGACCCGAGTTACCCCTGATGATTCGGGGCTCTGAATTACCAGCCTCGAACGTATCCCTACCCCTAAGATTGACATGCCAACCTGCGATGACAATCTTAGGGATTCGCCCTCAAAAAACAAGGGAACCCCTAAGATTGGCATCGTGATGAGGAGGTGCCCAGCATAGGGATAGGGATACGTTCCAGGCTGGTAACTCCAGACCTGCAGACCTCTCTGGAGCGGCTAACGCCGCGACAGGAATTCAGGCGTCAAAGTCCTCTGGTGCTGTCTTTGAGCCCTCCTGGAAGGTCAGGGTTGCCGTCCACCCGAGGTCGTGGAACCGGTTCCCTGCTGCCGGCTTTTCACCCCACACGGTCTCTTGACTGCCACGGGGCCTAGCAAGGACCCCGGGAGGCCAGAAATTGCAAAACAGCTCGCGCAATGTTTTCTTCCCCGACGCGAGGACGTCGGGGTCAGCACCCACTGCCACCTCCAGCGGCGATCACGGGCCCGAAGACATGATTGTTTCAGTGCGCGGCCCCAGAGGTCCAGACCGCTTCCAATTCTTCGTCCCAGACCCACCTGTGTGGGGGCCCCGGGGCCTGATAGCGAGCCCCAGACGCCGAACTCGAAGAGAGACGCCAGGACTGATCGAATCAAGTCCTGGGCGATGTAAATGTCCGACGATCTTTGATCCGAGAGATGTACAGTCGGGGCCTTGACCTAAGGAACCCCAAATAAGGAACGAGGCCCCTTTTTTTCCATGAGTTAAACTTTGATTTCCGATCGGAAACATAAGGAAAACCTGAGGCGAGCTGTGAAACACTTAAGGAACACGGAGCCCCTCCCCAACGAAAAGGGTTCCTTCTTCAGGGCCCCGACTGTAAGTCACAGTTGCATACACAAGAGGACCTCCGACACTGCAATGCCAAGATCGTTATCGCCGGAGGCGCGCCCCGCCCCGGAGGCCGGGTCGCGGAGTCCGCCCCGGGGACTGGCCCGTGGGCCTGCCGAGGGCAGCCGGGGCTGTCTCTGCCATGAACTCCCAGGAGGGCTGAGACCCAGACCCCCTCGAGTAATGAAAAAATCGTGACGGGAGGTTTTTCCTAATTTTCGGCCTCGGGGGGCCCTCACCGGGGCCTCGGGAGTGTCAAAAAACGACTCAGGATGCAAAGCCGGTCATGGAGAAAGGGTCGGGACCTACGGGGGTCGACGTAATGAAAAAATCATTACGTCGGGGGTCTGGGTCCATTCCGTTTCCTCAAAAATAACTCCTCCCTGTCGCGCCGCACGCCGCCAAGGAGCCCCCAGACGCTCCCAAGAAGCCCCCAAGAAGCCCCCAAGACGGCCCCACGAGGCCCCAGATAGCGCTCCAGGGCCGGCGGAATGAGCGAAGCGATTGAATAACTCCGCCCTGTCGCGCCGCGAGACCGGTCGAAAGAGCGGGCCTGGCGCTTCGCCGGAGATTCCTCAACATTTATGATCCTGATCTTTGAAACTTGCTACAGTTTCGAGGATGGAAAGCGGGTGGTTTTCAAATTGTGGCTCTCGCCTTAGCGCAGCGAACATTCGTCACACAAGAACTGCGAGAGCTTCACGGATAGAGGGCAGGTGGTTTTCAACATGTAGCTCTCGCGTTGGCGTGGAGCACATCCGACTTGAAACTTCGCAAGAGCTTTACGATGAAAGGCGGTTCCTTTCCAACATGTAGCTCTCGCCTGAGCACCGCGCACATTCGTTGTACGAGTGTACAACAGTTTCGCAGCAACAGTTTCAAGGATTCTCATGGTTAACGTATCAGAACATGTGTGTTGGCACGATGTCGCAGTGTCAGGGCGCAACAGTTCCGTTGATTCGTGGTGTTTGAGGTCCCAGGAATGGTGCTCAGGCAAGATCCAGGATCGTCAAGACGCAACAGTGACGGTGAGTCGCGGCGTTGAAGTCCCAGGAACGGTGGATCTGGCACAATTCAGGATTGTCAAACGGCCGTTTTCCGACAGGGCACCGCCTGCAGAAAAGGGAGCTTGGAAGGAGGGTCTATCGCCATTTCGTTGATGAATCTTGGGTTTTCTTCTCCTCTTCTTCTTCTTCATCATCATCATCATCATCATCATCATCATCATCATCATCATCGTCATCATCGTCATCATCATCCTCTTTTTAGTGAGGCAATCATGAGCGAGGAAGCTGTTGAGTTTAACAACCTTTTCATCCTCCTCTTCCTCCCCCTTCTCCTCCTCCCCTCCCTACCTCCCTCCCTCCTCCTCCTCCTCCTTCTCCTCCTCCTTCTCTTCCTCTTCCTCCTCCTCCTCCTCCTCCTCCTCTTCCTCCTCCAACTCCTCTTCCACCCCCCCTCTTCTTCCTCCCTCCCCCCTCCTCCTCCTCCTCCTCCTCCTGCTCCTCCTCCTTCTCCTCCTCCTCCTCCTCCTCCTCCAACTCCTCCTCTTCATCGGACCTTGAGGTCTGAATTCCAGTCTAGCTGCCCTTTGTGCACCGCCTCGCGCTCAGCGACTGATCAGGGCCTCTCAGTGGCAACGCTGGGGGGGCACTGGCTCAGGGGGGCGACAGGGTCGAGCTCCGGAGCGTTCGGGCATGATCGTCAACTCTCGGCTGTTTTCCAGCCCCGGGACCCTTTCCGGGAGGGTGTTGAGCAGGGACCGACCGTCCCGGCACTCCTATAGTCATACCACGACATGTTCTCGGAACCCAACAATGTTCGAAGAACAAAAACAAGGTGCTCAGAGCATCAACCCGATGTGTTAAAACAAGGCAGTCCCGGCCAGAAATGTTCTAAAGAACATTTCGTGGGAGCCACAGAAGGTTCCCAGACCCCCGACGTAATGATTTTTTCATTACGTCGACCCCCGTAGGTCCCGACCCTTTCTCCATGACCGGCTTTGCATCCTGAGTCGTTTTTTGCCACTCCCGAGGCCCGGTGAGGGCCCCCCGAGGCCGAAAATTAGGAAAAACCTCCCGTCACGATTTTTTCATTACTCGAGGGGGTCTGGGTTCTCAGAACATTCTTGGGTGGGGCTCTATGGGCGAGCCGGGACGCTTCGCCACTGCTTGGGGTTGGGTGGGGGGGGGCCGGAGCGCGTCCCGCACGGCCGGCGGAGGCCCGAGAAGCTGGCCCGAGAGCTCCACCGGGGACGGGGCTCCAAGGGGGGGCCAGGAACCTCGACGTCGACTCCTCCTCCTCCTCCTCCTCCTCCTCCTCCTCCTCCTCGTCGACGCTTCCAGCAGTCCAGACCTGTCCATGGGTCTGGGAGGCTATCTCTGGCCATCGCTCGGACGTCCATTTCCGGTGCTTTTTTCGGTTTCGTGCGTGGTTCTATCCAAGGGGATGCAAGGGGACCATGAACCTTGGCGTCGAGATGCCGGTCGATGCTTCCAGCAGTCCAGGTCTGTCCATGGGTCTGGGAGGCTATTTCTGGCCATCGCTCGGACGTCCATTTCCGGTGCTTTTTTCGGTTTCGCGCGCGGGCTTTGTCGCGAAAGGATCCAGGATGCTCCTCGATGGTCCTCGCCGAAGGAAACATGCACACGTCCGAGCGATGCCAAGCTATGTCTTACCACTCTGGAGGGTCTGGGCAGGGGCTGCCCACGCGCAGCCCCGAGCCTTGCCAGATGTCTGGGTGCATGATGCCGAGAGCCAGCACGTAGCGCTCGTCGCTCTCTCCGTTCACGACCTCTGGAGGCCGCCCACATGGGATCCCAGTAGATCGCGTCGGAGGATCGCGCCGCATCGCCGATGCGTTCGTGAGGCATCGGCGACGCCGGCAATGCGCGATGCATCGGTGGCGCCAGCGGGAAGAACATTGGGCGGGCTCCCCGTCGAGTTGCATCTCCAGCGATGCGGCGCGATCCACTGACCCCATCTGCTCGGAACCCACTGTGGAGGCCTAGAACCTCGTGTATCCATCCGTCGTTGAAAGCGACGGCCTCCGAGTCGCTCCAGCTGAGACTTCGCGTCTGGTTGATGCCTGTGTGGACCACAATCCTCGACGCCTCGAAGCCCTCCAGCCCTATGTGGACGTTGATGCGCCCGTTCTGCGCGCCGTTGTGCGGCAGCACTCGGGACCCAGGGCTAGAGTAGAAAAATACGACCTGCAGGCAGAGATGCAGGAGGAGTACGAGCAGGAAGACTAGAGAGACAGAGAGCGAGAGAGAGAGAGAGAAAGAGAGAGGGAGCGAGAGAGAGAGAGAGACAGAGAGAGATGATGGTAAGGCTTCGGCTTGCGCGCAGACAGCCCACCACGGTGGTCCCAGTTGGCCTCCACACGCTCCCCGAGCAGCCTGATGCGATCTCAACACCCTGGCGCCGCCTCTGGCGGCGCCCATGGGGCGCTCCGCGCCGTAAGGTTGGGGCGTTGAGACCGCCCCGGACTACTCGGGGCGCATGTCGAAGCCAAACGGGACTGCGGTGGGGAACTTTTTGCACAGCGTGTCGCGGCCGCGGCCCCGACAGCACGCTACATGCCCTGAGAGCGGATCGCGTGTCGCTCGGCCCCGCGAGGGCGGAAGGCCGGGAAAAGCGCGGGACGTGGACGCTCGGGGACCAGAACATGGATAGCGTGTCGCGCCGAAGCGTGTCGTCCCCCACGAACCCGCAGAAGAGGCGTGTGAAGAACAAAAACGTCTTACGAATCCATTTCGAGGGGCGGTGGCTGGCCCGACGGCTATGTCGAGTAGGAGATGTTATGGCTCAAGCGCCCGCAATAGGAAATCTGACGGCTACGCTGCGCCCACCACGCTGCGTGGTGGGCCAGAACCTGCAGAACGACACGCGGACCACAAGTCTCCGACCGTATCCGGGGTGGCTGGCAGTGCGCAACCAGAGGCCTCACCAAGAGAAAAAGCAACCTCCTCGTGGTTCATCACTGCGTACGGGACCTCTCGGCTCCTTCCAGGCAGTCCGTTCCGCAGCAACCGGCACGACTCGCGGGCAACGGCGCAGAACTCCTCGCTCCACAGCCCGTCTGTAAAGAGGCTGACCTTGGACCAGGTGCCTCTTCCCACGAGGTGGTCGTACGCAGCACTGAAGTGACCACCTCGTTTGAGGGCCTGGAGCTCCGATTTGAATACGGCTACGTTGCGCTCCAACAGATCCATAACTTCGGCGATGCTGGGGTCGTCCCCTCTCTCCCAAACGGGGAACTGCCTGACTTCTGTGAACGTGATCATGGGGCGCATCATGATATTGCTCCAGCGCAGCGCAGGCTGCCCCTTTGAATCCATCACCCTCTTGCTGACGTTGAAGAGCTTGTCCATTTCCTCGAAGTCTCCACTCCACTGGAAGGCTGACAGCGCGTTGTTAATACCAGAGGGGAAGCACCTTCCTTCAAATTCGCTTGCCTTGTCACTGTGCGCCACACATGGTTTTACCATGCTGATCTTTTTGTAAAAATGCCCCCACGATCTGCGGAGCTCCAACGCATCGACAACGCCGTCCTGCTCGCGCCCCGCTGGCAGGACCACGGGGCAGGTACCGATCGGAGCGAACCTGGCCAGGACTCAACACCAATCCAAACCAGAGAACCCATGCGTTCATCCGTTCTCTGGCTGTCCTCCGGCCATGGCCTGGCTGTTCCACCCTCCTGTGGAGTTGCATCATCACCTGGAAGCCACAGCGCCGCGCGTTTCCTTCGTTCTGCCTCCTCCTGCTCCCCCCTTCCCTCTTTTCCCCCCGCCTTCCTCCCTTTTTCCGCCTCCTCTCCTCCCCTCGCCGCCCGCGCCCGCTTCGGCATACCCCTCAAGCGGACCGTGCCTGGAGCTCCCGACGCGCGCCCGCGTATGAGCTTAGGTCGGGCATGTCCTCCTACAGGCGGATTTGGAAACGGAGAAAAATAGTCAACAAAAACCTCAGACATGGGAAGACATAGTCAGGAAATCCTCCCTAGACCATTACATGACTAATTTTGGAGATTCCTCCGGCAGAGGGGCGTGCCCGACTTAAGGGATGAGCTCGCAGGGCGCGGCGCCGCCCACACTTGGGCACGTCTCCCCGGCGAGGGTCGCGCCCCACCCGCAGGGGCGCCCCCGCGCGCCCGCCCAGCAGCCACTCCCCAGCCCGCACCGCCCCACAGCGCAAGGCTTAGATCGGGCATGCCCTCCTACAGGCGGACCTTGGACGGAAAAGTAAAGCTAGCCCACAAAAGATCCCAAACTGCCAAAGCAGAATCCGCAAATCGTTCCCAGACTACTTGTGATATTTGTTTGATATTCCTCCTGTAGAAGGAAATGCCCGACTTCACGCCACGTGCGCGACGGGCCAGGCTCGCTCTCGTTGCGGGGGGGGGGCGCGTCGGGCACCTCCGCGGGGCCCGAGCAGCACGGCGATAGCGTAGCACGCCCGGACGAACTCCGAGCCCCTCTCGAGCGTGGCGCCCGTGCCGCCGAAGCCTGGGAGCACCTCCTGCCGAAACTGCGCGTCCTTGTAGTAGAGGGCGGCCAAGACTCATCTGGACCCCGCCGGGGTGGGCCACTTCGACAGGAAGTCTCCCGAGAATCGCTGGCACACGGTGCCCACGGGATCGGACTCGTGTTCGGGACAGGAGGAGGGGGTGTGATGATGATGGTGGTGATGATGCTGATGATGTTGATGATGATGATGATGATGATGATGATGATGATGATGATGATGACGATGACGATGACGATGACGATGACGATGATGATGATGATGATGATGATGATGATGATGATGATGATGATGATGATGATGATGATGACGATGATGGTGCTGATCGCACGCAGCTTGGCGCGCCACGTGTCTCTGGCTCAGGCCGCCAGCGAACGAGCAGCGGCAGCCAGCACCTCGAGGTGCTCGCTGCAGAGTGACGGAGGTGCTGGTCCGGACGACCGCACCCCTCCATGGATGGTAAAACTTTGACAGCGAGGGCGACGAGGAAGCCCACGCGATCCCGCGAGACCTCTCCCCCGCATATTCGGACTCCTCGCCGAGCCGCGCGATGACGGCGTTGGGCAGGAAGGAGCGGGGCAAGGGGCGACGATGTGACGCAGGCGAGGGCAGGAGAGGCATATTGTGAGATGGAATCGGGCATGCCCTCACACCCGAGAGCGCACCCCCGCTGGCGCCAAGAATGTGCGTCCTGTGGGAGGTGGCCCACCCGCCCGCCAGGGCTTGGAGCACCGGCCAGGAGATGCTGGGGCGGGACTGGGCCAGGATGGCTTTCAGGGCGGGCCGGCGAGGGGCCAGGCGGGGCACCTGCATCGTGGGATACCACGCTCGCGCGCGCTTCTGCAGCGTCAGGAGCAAGCGGTCAGGGTACAGCTCTCGGGTGAGGGAGCGAGTATACACCCCCTGCAGCTTTGGGCGTTGTTGAAGCACCTCGGTATAGGCGGCTGCCTGCGTGGCCTCGGCAGACGCAACGCGCTGAGGGGCCGAGGGGGCCTTCGGGAGCTCGATCGGGTGCGTGCGATCGTGTAAGAATTGAACGATGGCGCGCTGGTCGCGCCAGAAGGGCGGGCTCCAGGGCTCCTGGATGATGATGATGATGATGATGATGATGATGATGATGATGATGATGATGATGATGATGATGATGATGATGATGATGATGGTGATAATGATGATGATGATGGGATGATGATGGTGATGATGAAGAGAAAAGGGGGGGGACGGTGAAAGGGATATGACCCAGACATCCGGCTTCGTGTTTTTGTCTCGCAGTTTGGCTCCACGAGGACAGGGGAGGAGACGAGGAAGGGAATGGGAGAAGGGACGTGAGGAGGGAGGAGGGGAGGAGAGACAAGGAAAGGGACGGGGGGGAATCTTGTCATCCAAGCATTCCCTAACCGAGTTGGCTGCCAGGGTTCGACACACACACATGTGCATATCTATATATATATATACACATATATAGCTATATACACGTTTACATACATACATACACATAACCATACAACAACACATACGTACATACATACATACATCCATGAACGTATACATAATTATATGCACACGAATACACACAGTCATGCTGACACACATACATGTATGCATACATACATACATCCATAAATGCATACATCCACACACATACATGCATACATGCATGCATGTATACATACATACACACATACATACACGTACATCGTATACATATGTACATACACATGCATACAACCATACATACATGCATGTATACATATATACACTCATACGACGAAGCTACACGCATATATACAATCACATATGAATGCACCTACATCCATACAATCATACATACATACGTCCATACATATATACATATACACGTACACCTACATACACTCATGCATACACGCATAATACATACACGCATCCGCACATACATGCATACATGCATACCTGCATCCATACGTACACTCATGCATGCATATGCACACACAGACATACACACATACAGACACACACACATGCTTACATACAAACATACACGCATGCATGCATACATACGCACATTACCATCCGACTTGTCAGCAAAACTGGGGGGAAAGGGAACTGGTGCCGCTGCCGCCCCCAAAATCGGCGACCCCAGGGCCTCCCGCATGGCCTCCCGCAGGGTTGTCCGTATGGTCTCCCGCATGGCCTCCCGTTTGGTTTCCCGCAGGGTCTCCCGCATGTGGCCACCCGTGCGCACCGCACGACAGAAGCGTCGTGCCTTCTGCAGCCAAAGGGTAGGTGTTGTTTGATGGCTCTGGGGCCCGAAAACCGTCCCCAGAGGCAGAATTTTCGAAGCACGAAAGAAGCATGTCTTCATGTATCATGCGTCGTACCTTCTGCAGCCAACGGGTAGGTGTTGTTTGATGGCTCTGGGGCCCGAAAACTGTCCCCAGAGGCAGAATTTCGAAGCATCTGCGCCTTGCATTATGCCCTGGGGGTCTCGAAAACTTCCTGGAAGCATAATCAAACATACGTTTTCGGAGATCCGAGCGGATTTCTATGAGGGGGCCCACACACACAAGCAAATACACAGAAATCCCAGGGTTCTCAGTATTCTCCCATATTTTCTGGATTCTCGTCTTCCCCGCGCTTCCCATGATTTCCCATACCTGTACGACCACCGTACGGGTGATAAGGAGATTGTGTGGGGGAGGAGAGGGGGGGGGGGGACCAACATCTGACTCAATCGATCTCACGATCGATCTCACTCAACGGGACACCACGGGACACCACGGGACACGTGTCGATCTCACTATCGATCTCACTATCGATCTCACTCAACGGGACACCACGGGACACCACGGGGCACCACAGGACATCGCGGGACATTTCTCGACCTCACTATTGGTCTCAATATCGATCCCACTACCGATCTCACTCAACGGGACACCGTAGGACACCATGGGACACCTCGGGACACCACATCGATCTCACTATCGATCTCACTATCGATCTCACTCAACGGGACACCGCGGGACACCTGTCGATCTCACTATCGATCTCACTTTTTGGGACACCACGAGACACCTCGGGGCACCACATCGATCTCAATATCGATCTCAATATCGATCTCACTATCGATCTCACTTAACGGGACACCACGGGACACCACGGGACACCACAGGACACCGCGGGATACCGCGAGCCACCGCCCGGGCGGGGGAGAATCATTTGCCTGGACTTCGCCCTGGCAACGGCGGGCCACCACGGGACACCACGGGACACCGCGGGACACCGCGAGCCACCGCCGGACGGGCGGGCCGGGGAGAATCATTTGTCTTGACTTCGCCCTAGCAACGGCGGACACCACGGGACACCACGGGACACCACAGGACATCGCGGGACACCGCAAGCCACCGCCGGACGGGCGGGGGGGCGGGGGAGAATCATTTGTCTGGACTTCGCCCTAGCAACGGCGGGATCAATCCTCTCGCGCGCCCACGCAGCTTCGCCTCGCCCGCACGCACGACACGAACGAAACGAAACGATTTCCCGGTTGGGAGTTTCCGTTCCACTGCGATCTCACCCCCCATCCGATTTTCCGGGGAATCGACGATTAATTGTGTCTGTGTATCAATCGGCGCCAAGACCCACGCCCCACACAACCCTGCCTCTGGCACGCCGCGCGCGCCAGGGGGGGCGCCGCTGGAGGTGCCGACCTGGGGTGCGGGGACGGGGTGCCGCGCCAGACCCAAGAAAGCTGGCGAACTGGCTCAGGGTAACGTTTACTTATTCGGCTTTTCGACAGGAGGAGGAGGAGGTGGAGGGGGAGGAGGAGGAAGAAGAGGAGGAGGTGGAGGAGGAGGAGATGGGGGAGGAGGAGGAGGAGGAGGAGGAGAGGAAGGAGGAGGAGGATGAGGAGGATGATGATGATGATGAGGAGGATGAGGAGGAGTGGGAGGGAGGAGGAGGAGGAGGAGGGGCGGAGGGGTGGGGGTCTGGCTCCGGACCCCTGCTTAATGCGACTGTTTGCAACAGTGCGCCCCAGGGGGGAGACTCCACCTGCCTGAAACAGGCGCCAGAAACAGCCAAGACCTACTCCATCGGGGGGGGGAGGGGGGGCGCGAGGGCACGCGCCGATCGGCAAAGCAACGAACAAGAAAACGACGACCAGGGTGGGGGAACACTGCTTGGGAATCGGCGATGCGTCGCCGATGGCTCGACGATGGGCCCCTCGACAGCGAAATGCCACGCGCTCCCGGGCGGGGGTGGGCCCCCCGGGCCCCGAGGGCGAGGAGTGTGCCACTCGGGGCCGACGTTTCCCGCTGCTCGGGTCGGACAAGGGGCCAACTCACGTACACAGGCTGGTTTCTCCGAGGCCACCCAGGCGCCAGAGACGTCGCTATCAACTAATAAATATTAACTACAGTGGAGGCCAGTCCACAGGAAACCTTCCAGAGGAAGCCCAACCCTCAGACCCCAGGACGTCCGTCACGCTCTCCAAGTCAAAACCATCGAAAACCAAGAAACCCATGGCACCCTGGAGGCAAGCAGGGTGCTTCTTGGCATGGGCCCCCACTGAACCTACCAGAACAGCCCAAACCCAACCCAGAGGCCAGAATTTTGGGTTGGGGTGGAGGGGTACGGGCTTCATCTGTCTTTTGTTGCAATGTTCGCTCCCCGACACCCCTCCCCACTGGAAATGAAGGGCCCATTGGGGCCTTCGTGTTGGGCTGGATTGGTCTGGTGGGCGGTGGGCATCGAGGAGGGCGCCCAGCGGCGAAGCCGAGACCGGCTACATTATATTTAGGGCCCGTCCCCCTGGGCCAGTCCCCGTAAGGAGTGGGGAAACCGAAAGTGCGAGGCGGGGATTCATCCATATCCACCGCCTGGGAACCGACGTCCTGGTGCCCCAGCGGGCGGTGGATATGGATATATTTCGGCCCCTGGGGGCCCGAATCTGCCGCCCATATTCACCGCCTGCCGACGTTCCCGCCTCGGAGTAAGATACAGACACGGTCGGATCTAGGATTAGGTCGGGCATGTCCTCCTACAGGCGGGCTTTTGAAGAAAAAATCAAAATAACCAAACAAGTGCTCAACCAAAATCCGAAAATGCTCAAAAACCGTCCCCAGACTATGTGTGAACTATTTTTGAATATTCCTCCCGTAGAGGGACATGCCCGACGTAAACCCAAGACAGAGAACAAAAACACCCGTCCAAAACATGAGCCCCTCCTCTTCCAAAGCACCCCAGGGTGCACGAGACCATCCAAGAAAGGCCAAGAACATCAGGTCACCCTCCCCGAGCCGACCTCGATCTTGTACAGAGGGCCGACTGTACCGAAGCTCCCTGGACCTCTCCCAAGGAACGCTCTGGCTCGAATTTCGAGGCGAGTACGGCCGTGGCGACGAGTGCCGCCCAGGAGGCCTGGCCAAAAAAGAGGCGAAAATGAGGGAGGGGTAGCAGCGTCGGTACCTAATCCCCCCTTCGGGGGACAAAAGGCACCGATACCGCCACTCCCGGGACCTCTCTTGGGATGATCAGAACTTCGAGGACAATCCGGCCGCGGCGACGAGAACTCTCCTGGACGAGCGGCGCGGTACCTTTTCCTCCTCTGGCCCCTGGGCCAAGCCCCCCACCGCCCCAGTGGCAGACTGGGCTGGGCCAGGGAAAACAACTCGGCCAGGCCGAACTCGACCGGGCGCAGCTGGGCCCGGCGGCTCTCGACCTCGGCCAGGCGGAGCTCATCCGAAACGCTGCACTCGGCCCGGCGGGCCGGAGCTCGGCCTGGCCGAGCGTCTCCCTCGTCACCCCGGGAGGCCAAGGTGAGCCTGCCGAGAGGGCGGAGTGGTTGAGGAGCACGCCCGAAACGGCGCCGTGGGCCGCCCGCGCCGCGGCCTCCAGCGCCTCGGCGGCCGCGCCGCCGCCGGACTTGAGGGCCCTGGCAGGCCGGGCGGCCGCCAGAGGCGGGTCCCGGCCCAGGGGGTCGCCACCAGCCCAGATCTCCTTCCAGCCCTGTCCCCCTCCTCCTCCTCCTCCTCCTCCTCCCTCCTCCCTCCTCCTCCTCCTCCTCCTCCTCCTCCCTCCTCACTCTCCTCCTTCTCCTCCGCTCGCCGCTCCTCCTCGCTCCTCCTCCTCGCTCCTCCTCCTCTCACTCTCCTCCTCCTCCACCTCCTCCTCCTCCTTCTCCTCCTCACTCTCTCCCCTCTCCTCCTCCTCTCCTCCTCCTCCTCCTCCTCCCTCCTCCTCCTCCCCTCCTCACTCCTCTCGCTCCTCCTTCTCCTCCTCCTCCTCCTCCTCGCTCGCCTCCTCCTCGCTCCTCCTCCTCTCTCCTCCCTCTCTCCTCGCCTCCTCCTCCTTCCTCCTCCCTCCTCCTCCTCCTCCTCCTCTCACTCTCCTCCTTCTCCTCCGCCTCGCTCCTCCTCCTCGCTCCTCCTCCTCCTCCTCCTCCTCACTCTCCTCCTCCTCCACCTCCTCCTCCTCCTCCTCCTCCTCTCCTCCTCCTCCTCCTCCTCCTCCTCCTCCATCCTCCTCCTCTCCTCCTCCTCCTCTCCTCCTCCTCCTCCTCCTCCTCCTCTCCTCCTCCTCCCATCCTCCTCCCTCCCCCTCCTCCCTCCTCCCCTCTTCCTCCTCTCTCTTCTCCTCCTCGTCCTCCTCCTCCTCTTCTTCTTCTCTCCTCCGCTTCTCTTCTTTCCTCCTCCCTCCTCCTTCCTCCTCCTCCTCCTCTTCCTCCTTCTCCTCTCCTCCTCCTCCTCCTCCTCCTCCTCCATCTCGCTGCTCGCTCCTCCTTCTTCACCCTCTCGTCCTCCTCTCCTCCTCCCCTCCTCATGGTCCTTCTCCTCCTCCTCCTCCGCCCCTCCTTCTCCTCCTCCTCCTCCTCCTCCTCCTCCTCCTCCTCCTCCTCCTCTCTTCCTGGGCCCCGGCGGTGCCCCGAGGGGGGTGGGGATCGCCACCACGGAGGAACGAAGGAGCAAAGGGTTGCTCTTCAGCGGCCGCGGCGGGGGTGCCCAAATCTTCACCGGGGGGCATCGCCCCATGCGGACGACCCCTGCGGATCGAGGATCGAACTTGGGACGTTTTTGCCCTTTCGGGTCTCCTGCAGCTCTCTCGCCGCCGTGGCTGGATCCGCATTGAAAGTCTGGCTCAGCACTCCCAGACCCGTTTGAAGCCGTTCAGAAAGCATGTTCGGTGCTCTCGGGGTGTGCTAGACCCAGTCTGGTAGACTGTGGTGCCAATGGGTGGGTTCTCCGTGCGACTGCGAGGCCACTTGGGGCCCCCCGAGCGGGCCCCTGGAGCCCCTGCCCGGTCATGTGTGCCCGTGGTGCTGTTTCTGGGCCCGCCCGAGGCCTACTCCGATATCCGGTTACACACCACAGGGTATACGTATATACATAGGTACACACATCCACACGCACATACACATACACATTTGCACAACCACATACACATACACGTACACAAACACATACACGTACACATGCACATGCACATGCACATGCTTTCGTCGGCGGCGAGGCGGCGAACTCCGCTCCAGCGAGAAGCTAGAACACCACATGCACATGCACATGCACATGCACATACATCCACATACACATACACATACACATGCACATGCATACATGCATGCATTCATACTTACATACAAACATGTATATGCACATACATACACATACCTACATGTCGTTATACTCTGTACATACATATACAGATGCATACACCTATATATATATATATATATATATTCTCAGGCGAACTAGACAATACCACGCGTGCCAATTCGGGTTACGAAGTCTTGCGGCTGGAACCCCGAGAAGATGAATCGCACCGCTCTGGAGGGAATTCGACGCCGCGACTCTGTAGCTGCTTGCTGCGGACACTGGCCAGGGCGGACAAATCCTGCCCCACGTCGACCGACAAATGCGAATGAAAGGAGCTGGGAGGATCGAATGTAGAATATGTCTTGTTGTGACGTTTTCGGGTTGAGGATCGGAAAAGTTGCTGGGATGTTTTGGAGCCTCGGACGAACATCGCAGTGGAACGGATTGCCCCCCCCCCCACACACACACACACACGGGGAACGCGGTTTCGGTTTCGCTTTCGTGTGTGCGGGCGAAGCGAAGCTGCGTGGGCGGGCGAGAGGGATGACCCGCCCTGGCTAGGGCGAAATCGGGCTCGATGTCTCACCTCCCGCGGTTGGCCAGCGGCGGCCCCGAGGTGTTCCGCTGGTGTCCCCGGGTGTCCCGTGGCGCGGTGTCCCGCGGAGTCCCGTGATGGCCCGTGGAGGTCGATGGTAAGATCGATTGTGAGATCGGATGAACGAGATCGGGTGAGCGAAAGCGATGGTCAGATTGGTAGTGATATCGATCGTGGGATCGACGGTGAAGTCGATACATAACGAGATCGACAGTGAGCTCGACGGTGAGGTCATCACCATCACAAACGTCGCAGTTGCCACCAGTTGCCCCCCCCACAAACTCCTTATCACCCGAAGGGTGGTCGTATTGGTAGAATATGTTTTGTTTTGACGTCTTCGGTTTGAGAATTTGGGATGGAGGATCGGAGGATCGGAGAGGTTTCAGGGACGCCTTTGGGGGCCTGGGATGGATACTCTATGAAGGATCGAAGATCGACGAGGTTTTCTGGGACGCTTTGATGCGCCTTGGGCGCTCCTGGGGGCGGGGGCTGGGGGTCCTCCACCACCTGGCTTCGCAGGAGGAGGTGGCGACGCCCCCGGTGGTGACCCCCCTCGGCATTGCCCGGCTCCCCCTCCTCCTTCCCCTCCTCCTCCTCCTCCTCCTCCTCCTCCTCCTCCTCCTCCTCCTCCTCCCCCTCCTCCTCCTCCTCCTCCCTCCCTCCTCCTCCTCCTCCCCTCCTCCTCCTCCTCCTCCTCTCCTCCTCCTCCTCCTCCTCCTCCTCCTCCTCTCCTCCTCCTCCTCCTCCTCCCAGGGCGGCCCCAGCTTCTCTGGGAGGCCCGGGTGCCTCCAGGGCCCACAAGGGCCCAGGGGCTCCCGTGGCGCGAGAAGCTGGGGCCACCCTGGGGCCAAGAGGAGGGAGGAGGAGGAGGAGGGGAGGAGGAGGAGGAGAGGAGGAGGAGGAAGAAGGAGGACAGCGAGATGGAGGAGGAGGAGGAGAGGAGGAGGAGGAGGAGGAGGAGGAGGAGGAGGGAGGAGGAGGAGGAGAGGGGGCCACATGCGAGCCCCACCCCTACCCCCCACAATTTCGGAGGGGGAGGGTGGGGTTCACTTCGCTCGGAGGGCGACCGCCCAGCGGAGGAAGCTTGAAATCTCCTCCAGGTAGGGGGCCACACGCGAGCCCTACCCCTACCCCCCACGACTTCTGAGGGGGAGGGTGGGGTTCACTTCGCTCGGGAGCTCCCGAGCGAAGTGAACCCCGCCCTCCCCCTCAGAAATCGTGGGGGGCAGGGGTGGGGCTCGCATGTGGCCCCCGAAAGACCTCCTCTGGTGACCTCCGGCCTGTAAGCGAGGCAGGCGTCGATCGCCAGCCTCATCGTCCTGGACCAGGGCCTGCTCTCATCCGCGCGAGGGGGATCGGAGGAGGGCCAGTTGAGACAACGGCGGCCGCAGCCCTGGCAACGAGAAGCCTCCAGGAGGCCCGAGAGCAGGAAGAAACAAGCAAACGAAGCCCGCCAAAGTCTCGACCCTGACTTCCGAGGGCTGGCTTTTCTTGGGTCGGGCGTGTCCTCCCACAGGCGGATTTTGGAAGACAAACGCAACACAGTCAAAACAGCTCAAACAGAAAGAGCACGCACAATCGTCCCCAGACTATGCTGATCTGGAATCTTCCTATCGGCGGTGGACAAACCTCCCTTTAGTAGACGTCCCCTTCGTGACAACGGCCTGGGACCGAAACCGACGGAGCTGGACCCGCAAAAATGACGGCCGCGACGCCCTCTCGCGAACCGAAAACGGCCAATTCCTTAATCGACGTGTCAGGGTAGGAGGTCTGTCTACCCCCGATCCTACTGTAGAGGGACATGCACGACTTAGACCTGCTCTGCGGCGCGTCCTGGCCAAGCCTTCCAGGCGGAGATCCAGCCGTGGCGACGTGGAGCCCCCGGGAGGCCCCCCCAAAAGCGGGCAAAAACGCCAAGAACACTCTTGGATTTGGACGCCCGAAATGGGTACGGAAAGAATGGGCACGATGCCCAACAGCAGTTTCGGCTCATTTTGAACAGGACTCGCTGTCCGCGCCGCCGCGGCCTGTGTCCGCTCGAGACAGAAGGCCGCCTGCCCAACAGCGGACGCCGTTGGTTTGGGACAACATTTGTTTCTGGGCATTGTACATTTTTTTGTCCGTACCCATTTCTCGGGCCGGGCGAAAGGGGGGGATAGCAAGGGGGGGGTTTGAGAATCAGCTCACGTAGCTGATTGTCCCAGCGCCTCCCGGCGCCGGAGGCGGCTATGTATCGAGGAATGGGCCCCGCGGTGGGGCCGAAACCAGCTGCACGCAGCAAATTTCGTAACCTCCCCTTTCCCAATCCCCCCCTGTCGTCCGGCCCGAATCTCGGGCGTCCGAATTGGAGAACGCGCCGCTGCGGCGGCCCCGGCGACACGCTGTGCCTTGCAAGCGGAGATGGCGTCTCGCTCCGCTCCGCGGGCCGGGCGGCGCGGAGAAAGAGCTCGGGGCGGTGACGCCTGGGGCCCAGGACACGGTGTCGCTCCGGAGCTTACCAGCCTCGAACGTATCCCTATCCCTAAGATTGACACGCCCCAAAGACGATGACACTCTTAGGGATCCGCCTTCAGAAATAGGGGAATCCCTAAGATTGGCATCGTGATGAGGAGGTGCCCAGCATAGGGATAGGGACATGTTCCAGGCTGGCAAGGAGCGTGATGGGCTAGAGCTGGCTCAGCGACGCGCTGTCCAGGAACTCCCGACCGTGACTCCTCCTCCTCCTCCTCCTCCTCCTCCTCCTCCTCCTCCTCCTCCTCCTCCTCCTCCTCCTCCTCCTCCTCCTCCTCCTCCTCCTCCTCCTCCTCCTCCTCCCTCCTCCTCCTCCTCCTCCTCCTCCTCCTCCTCCCCCTCCCCTCCTCCTCCCCCTCCTCCTCCTCCTCCGAGGCAAGCCCGAGCCCGGACCCGGTCCCCTGGCGGGACCCCAGAGTGGCAAGCCCTGCCAGGGCGGGGGACGTGTGCACCCCCTCCTCCTCCTCCTGCTCCTGCTCCTCCTCCTCCTCCTCCTCCTCCCTCCTCCTCCTCCTCCTCCTCCTCCTCCCCCTCCTCCCCCTCCTCCTCCTCCTCCTCCTCCTCCTCCTCCTCCTCCTCCTCCTCCTCCTCCTCCTCCTCCATCTCCATTCATTCTTCCTAATGACTGACTCCTCCCTGTCGCGCCCCGAGGGCAGTCGAAAGGGTGGGCAGAGCGCTTCGCCTGAGACTTCCGCACCATTTATGACTCTGAAGCTTAGAAGCTGGCAGCAGTTACACACATGGAGGGCGTTTTTGTTTCAATAATGTGGCCCTCGCCTTAGCGCCGCGCACATTCGTTTTAACACTCTGCAAGAATTTAGCGGGTTGAGGGCGGGTCGTTTTCACCATGTGGCTCTCGCCTTAGCGCCGCGCAAATTCGCTTGAACAAAAATGCAAGGGCTTCACGGGTTGAGGGCGGGTCGATTTCAACATGTGGCTCTCGCTTAAATGCCCCGCACACTCGTCTTAAACATTTGCAAAAGTTTCACGGACTGAGGGCGGGCCGTTTTCAACATGTGGCTCTCTCCTCAACGCCGCGCACACTGGTCTTCAACATCAGCAAGAGTTTCACGGAATGAGGGCGGTTCGTTTTCACAATGTGGCTCTTGCCTGAGCGCCGCGCACATTCTTTTTACGCACTTGCAGAAGATTCACGGAGCCCCATGGCCAGTGTACCAGAGATGGGAAGGACTCAGGTTTGTCAGGGCGCAGCAGTTACGTTGATTCGCGGTGCTACAATCCAAGGAAAGGTGTTCTGGCACGATTCAGGATTGCCAAAATGCAACAGTCAAGTAGATTCGTGGCGTTCGAGTCCCGGGAATGGTGTTTTGGCACGCTGCAGGGTCTTCAGACGGATGTCTCCCAACGAGGGCAGTTCCCTCAGTGGAAATGAACCCTTGTAGGGGCCTGTGCAGAGGGAGCTTGGAGGGAGGGTTTATTCCAACCTCGTTGATGAGTCTTGGATTAACACTGGTCCTCCTCCTCCTCCTCCTCCTCCTCCTCCCCCTCCTCCTCCTCCTCCTCCTCCTCCTCCTCCTCCATCCGTCTTCTTTAACTAACTCCCCCCTGACGCGCCCCGGGGCTGGTCAAAAGGGCGGGCCGGGCGTTTCGCCTGTGAATTTCTCACCACTCATGGCTCTGAAGCTTAGAAGTCGGCAAGCGTTTCACAGCAGAAGGGCGGGTGGTTTTTCGAAGCGTGGCTCTCGCCGCTCGCCTTAGTGCCGCACCCATTCGTCTTAAACAGTTGCAGAGATTTCGCGGATTGAGGGTGGGTCGTTTTCACCATGTGGCTTTCGCCTTCGCGCCGTGTGCATTCTTGAACAATTGCAGGGGCTTCACGGGTTGAGGGCGGGTCGTTTCAACATGTGGCTCTCACCTTGGCGCCGCGCGAACTCGTCTTCAACACTCGCAAGAGCTTCACGGATTGAGGGCGGACCGTTTTCTGAATGTGGCTCTCAACGCCGCGCACACTCGTGTTCAAAACTTGCCAACCTTTCACGGACTGAGGGCGGCTCGTTCTCGAAATGTGGCTCTCGTCTGAACGCCGCGCACGTTCGCCCTGAATATTGGTCACAGCTTCACGGATGGAGGGCGGTTCCATCTCAAAATTTGGCTCTCGCCTTACCGCCGTGCGCTCGTTTTGGAAGAGGCTGCAACCATTTTAAGGACTCCTCTCTTGGTTAACGCCCCAGAAACGGTGTTTTGGCACGATGTCGGAACGTCAGGGCGCAACAGTCACGTGTTTGGCGGCGTTGAAGCCCAAGGAATGAGGTTCTGGCACAATTCCGGATTGTCAGGCGGTTGTCTTCCAACGGGGCACTTCCCTTCGTGAAAGCGAATCCTTGTAGGAGCCTGCGAAGAGGGAGCTTGGGGGAGGGTTTATTTCAACCTCGTTGATGCGCCTTGGCTTTACACTGGTCCTCCTCCTACTCTTCCTCCTCCTCCTCCTGCTCCTCCATCCGTCTTCTTTAACTAACTCCCCCCTGACGCGCCCCGGGGCCGGTCAAAAGGGCGGGCCGGGCGTTTCACCTGTGAATTTCTCACAACTCATGGCTCTGAAGCTTAGAAGTCGGCAAGAGTTTCACAGCAGAAGGGCGGGTGGTTTTTCAAAGCGTGGCTCTCGGCCTGGTGCCGCACCCATTCGTCTTAAACAGTTGCAAGGATTTCGCGGATTGAGGGTGGGTCGTTTTCACCATGCGGCTTTCGCCTTCGCGCCGTGTGCATTCTTGAAAAATTGCAGGGGCTTCACGGGTTGAGGGCGGGTCGTTTCAACATGTGGCTCTCACCTTGGCGCCGCGCGAACTCGTCTTCAACACTCGCAAGAGCTTCACGGATTGAGGGCGGACCGTTTTCTGAATGTGGCTCTCAACGCCGCGCACACTCGTGTTCAAAACTTGCCAACCTTTCACGGACTGAGGGCGGCTCGTTCTCGAAATGTGGCTCTCGTCTGAACGCCGCGCACGTTCGCCCTGAATATTGGTCACAGCTTCACGGATGGAGGGCGGTTCCATCTCAAAATTTGGCTCTCGCCTTACCGCCGTGCGCTCGTTTTGGAAGAGGCTGCAACCATTTTAAGGACTCCTCTCTTGGTTAACGCCCCAGAAACGGTGTTTTGGCACGATGTCGGAACGTCAGGGCGCAACAGTCACGTGTTTGGCGGCGTTGAAGCCCAAGGAACGAGGTTCTGGCACAATTCCGGATTGTCAGGCGGTTGTCTTCCAACGGGGCACTTCCCTTCGTGAAAGCGAATCCTTGTAGGAGCCTGCGAAGAGGGAGCTTGGGGGAGGGTTTATTTCAATATCGTTGATGCGCCTTGGCTTTACACTGGTCCTCCTCCTACTCTTCCTCCTCCTCCTCCTGCTCCTCCATCCGTCTTCTTTAACTAACTCCCCCCTGACGCGCCCCGGGGCCGGTCAAAAGGGCGGGCCGGGCGTTTCACCTGTGAATTTCTCACCACTCCATGGCTCTGAAGCTTAGAAGTCGGCAAGAGTTTCACAGCAGAAGGGCGGGTGGTTTTTCAAAGCGTGGCTCTCGGCCTGGTGCCGCACCCATTCGTCTTAAACAGTTGCAAGGATTTCGCGGATTGAGGGTGGGTCGTCTTCACCATGCGGCTTTCGCCTTCGCGCCGTGTGCATTCTTGAAAAATTGCAGGGGCTTCACGGGTTGAGGGCGGGTCGTTTCAACATGTGGCTCTCACATTCGCGCCGCGCACACTCGTCTTCAACACTTGCAAGAGCTTCACGGATTGAGGGCGGACCGTTTTCTCAAAGTGGCTCTCAACGCCGCGCACACTCGTGTTCAAAACTTGCCAACCTTTCACGGACTGAGGGCGGCTCGTTCTCGAAATGTGGCTCTCGTCTGAACGCCGCGCACGTTCGCCCTGAATATTGGTCACAGCTTCACGGATGGAGGGCGGTTCCATCTCAAAATTTGGCTCTCGCCTTACCGCCGTGCGCTCGTTTTGGAAGAGGCTGCAACCATTTTAAGGACTCCTCTCTTGGTTAACGCCCCAGAAACGGTGTTTTGGCACGATGTCGGAACGTCAGGGCGCAACAGTCACGTGTTTGGCGGCGTTGAAGCCCAAGGAATGAGGTTCTGGCACAATTCCGGATTGTCAGGCGGTTGTCTTCCAACGGGGCACTTCCCTTCGTGAAAGCGAATCCTTGTAGGAGCCTGCGAAGAGGGAGCTTGGGGGAGGGTTTATTTCAATATCGTTGATGCGCCTTGGCTTTACACTGGTCCTCCTCCTACTCTTCCTCCTCCTCCTCCTGCTCCTCCATCCGTCTTCTTTAACTAACTCCCCCCTGACGCGCCCCGGGGCCGGTCAAAAGGGCGGGCCGGGCGTTTCACCTGTGAATTTCTCACCACTCATGGCTCTGAAGCTTAGAAGTCGGCAAGAGTTTCACAGCAGAAGGGCGGGTGGTTTTTCAAAGCGTGGCTCTCGGCCTGGTGCCGCACCCATTCGTCTTAAACAGTTGCAAGGATTTCGCGGATTGAGGGTGGGTCGTTTTCAACATGCGGCTTTCGCCTTCGCGCCGTGTGCATTCTTGAAAAATTGCAGGGGCTTCACGGGTTGAGGGCGGGTCGTTTCAACATGTGGCTCTCACATTCGCGCCGCGCACACTCGTCTTCAACACTTGCAAGAGCTTCACGGATTGAGGGCGGACCGTTTTCTGAATGTGGCTCTCAACGCCGCGCACACTCGTGTTCAAAACTTGCCAACCTTTCACGGACTGAGGGCGGCTCGTTCTCGAAATGTGGCTCTCGTCTGAACGCCGCGCACGTTCGCCCTGAATATTGGTCACAGCTTCACGGATGGAGGGCGGCTCCATCTCAAATTTGGCTCTCGCCTTACCGCCGTGCGCTCGTTTTGGAAGAGGCTGCAACCATTTTAAGGACTCCTCTCTTGGTTAACGCCCCAGAAACGGTGTTTTGGCACGATGTCGGAACGTCAGGGCGCAACAGTCACGTGTTTGGCGGCGTTGAAGCCCAAGGAATGAGGTTCTGGCACAATTCCGGATTGTCAGGCGGTTGTCTTCCAACGGGGCACTTCCCTTCGTGAAAGCGAATCCTTGTAGGAGCCTGCGAAGAGGGAGCTTGGGGGAGGGTTTATTTCAATATCGTTGATGCGCCTTGGCTTTACACTGGTCCTCCTCCTACTCTTCCTCCTCCTCCTCCTCCTCCTGCTCCTCCATCCGTCTTCTTTAACTAACTCCCCCCTGACGCGCCCCGGGGCCGGTCAAAAGGGCGGGCCGGGCGTTTCACCTGTGAATTTCTCACCACTCATGGCTCTGAAGCTTAGAAGTCGGCAAGAGTTTCACAGCAGAAGGGCGGGTGGTTTTTCAAAGCGTGGCTCTCGGCCTGGTGCCGCACCCATTCGTCTTAAACAGTTGCAAGGACTTCGCGGATTGAGGGTGGGTCGTTTTCAACATGCGGCTTTCTTCGCCTTCGCGCCGTTTACATTCTTGAAAAATTGCTGGGGCTTCACGGGTTGAGGGCGGGTCGTTTCAACATGTGGCTCTCACCTTGGCGCCGCGGGCACTCGTCTTCAACACTCGCAAGAGCTTCACGGATCGAGGGCGGACCGTTTTCTGAACGTGGCTCTCAACGCCGCGCACGCTCGTGTTCAAAACTTGCCAACCTTTCACGGACTGAGGGCGGCTCGTTCTCGAAATGTGGCTCTCGTCTGAACGCCGCGCACGTTCGCCCTGAATATTGGTCACAGCTTCCCGGATGGAGGGCGGCTCCATCTCAAAATGTGGCTCTCGCCTTACCGCCGTGCGCTCGTTTTGGAAGAGGCTGCAACCATTTCAAGGACTCCCTTGGCTAACGCCCCAGAAACGGTGTTTTGGCACGATGTCGGAACGTCAGGGCGCAACAGTCACGTGTTTGGCGGCGTTGAAGCCCAAAGAATGATGTTCTGGCACAATTCCGGATTGTCAAGCGGTTGTCTTCCAACGGGGCACTTCCCTGAGTGAAAACGAACCCTTGTAGGAGCCTGCGAAGAGGGAGCTTGGAGAAGGGTTTATTTCAATATCGTTGATGGGTCTTGGGTTTACACTGGTCCTCTTCCTACTCTTCCTCCTCCTCCGCCTCGCCCTCCTCTCTCTGCCGTAAGGTGCTCTGAGGATGGTACAAATGGACGTTCCTGGGGCCTGGAATAAGCAGCAACACCAACACAGGGGTGTGATTCCACTAGGAGGAAGATGATCCTGGACCTCGGTGCTGGTGGTAATCTCTCGGCCACCTAAAGAGCCCGAGTATTACCACCATCGCCGAGGTCAGGACCATCTTCTTCCATCGGTGGAGGCACAACATCGATGCCCCATGCCGCCGTCGTCATGCTGACACCCAGGGAAGTCTGGATCCCTTCCCCAGGACCGGTTTCTCGCCCCGAGCCGTTTTTCGACGGTCACGAGGCCCACAATAAGGGCCCCCGAAGGCCGAAATCCATGGAGCCCCTCCCGCCATGATTCTTCCATGGCCCGCCCGAGGGGGTCTGCCTCCTCCTCCTCCTCCTCCTCCTCCTCCTCCTCCTCCTCCTCCTCTCCCCCTCCTCCTCCTCCTCCTCCTCCTCCCCCTCCTCCTCCCCGTCCTCCTCCCCCTTCTCCTCCCCTCTCCTCCTCCTCCTCCCTCCTCCTCCTCCTCCTCCTCCTCCTCCTCCTCCTCCTCCTCCTCCTCCTCCTCCTCCCCTCCTCCTCCTCCTCCTCCTCCTCCTCCTCCTCCTCCTCCTCCTCCCTCCTCCTCCTCCTCCTCCTCCTCCTCCTCCTCCTCCTCCTCCTCCTCCTCCTCCTCCTCCTCCTCCTCCCTCCTCCTCCTCCTCTCCTCCTCCCCCCTCCTCCTCCTCCTCCTCCTCCTCCTCCTCCTCCTCCTCCTCCTCCTCCTCCTCTCCTCCTCCTCCTCCTCCTCCTCCTCCTCCTCCTCCCCCTCCTCTCCTCCTCCTCCTCCTCCTCCTCCTCCTCCTCCTCCTCCTCCTCCTCCTCCTCCTCCTCCTGGGGGCTCAGCCTGGCCCTCCTCCGAGAGGCGGGGAGGGAGACCCCCACAGCGGCCACCCCATCGCGGCCAGCCGCTCGCCTCGGCCTGGCTGCGCCGCCGATCCTCCAGGGCCGAGGCCCTTCTGGGAACGCCGCGCGTGGTGGTAGAGAGAGAGAGAGAGAGAGAAAGAGAGAGAGAGAGAGTGCCGCGGCTGCCGCGACGGGAGGACACAGCAGAGGATGCGCGGAGGGAGACGCCGGCGCCCAAGCTTGCCCCGGGGAGCGATCCCAGGCCCGCGACGTGTTCTCGGCACGGGGTGCCCCGACGTCCCGACCCTTTCCCCGGGGCCGGTGTCTCCTCCTGAAGCGTCTCTCGGTGGTCCCTGGGCCCGGCGAGGGCCCCCCGGGGCCGAAAACGGCGAACACCCTCCCGTCCTGGTCCTTCTACAGCGCGAGCGTGCCTGGAACGGGAGGGGATGTCGGGTGCCTCGCCGTCCTCCGACAGGAGGGGGACCCTGGCCTTCCAGACCGCTGGGGCCCCAACCTTCCAGAGTGCTAGAAAATGGCTCTCCAAACTCCAAACCTATGGACCTATCTCGACAGCTCAAGAACCTCGACTGGAGCTTAGATGTCGAAGTCGTGGTGCTACCATTTTTTCCGTCCTGGGACGTCATGAGGAGGAAGAAGAGGAGCAGGAGGAGGAAGAGGAGGAACCGCACTACGCCAAACACGGAGGACCTGGCGGGCCACTGGTCAGCGAGGCCCAGCCACGTGTCGCACTACCGCGAACCAGTGTGGCGAGAGATAAGCCGCGACGGCACCGACAAGGACATGACCGACGCAGGCCGGGCGTGGGAGGCGACGCGCAGCTGCCAGCACGCGGGCCCCTCCTCGGCAGAAAGGGCCGTGCGAGGAGGAGCAGAACGGGGGGAGCAAGATCGCGGCAACGGGGCCGCGCGAGGAGGAGGAGGAAGAGCCCTGAGATCCTGGCGCTGCCATTATTTTCACGAAGGGGCGGTTTCGCTCCTTTTGGGGCCCCGGGACCCTCGCAGATGGGTCCGGCTCGAACAACGACGCAGAAAGATGGGGTCCGGGGGGGAGCAGGAATGACCGAGGAAGGACCCATCGGAGTCTTGTGCCGTCCCGAAACTCAATCGGAACCTGACTCGGACTCCGCTCGCTGGGGCCAGCGCAGGATCCTCGGCGCTTTCACGCCGGAGCAGTGCGGGTTGGGATCCTGCTGCTCCACGAGGGGAGCTTGAATTAGCAAGGCTCGCGGGGGCAACTCCCATCGCGGAGTGCGATGCTGCGGGCAGCCTATACGAGGGGTGCTTCCCTTGCGCAGTCCTGCGAGGGTTCTCCTGCCCTTTCCTGATGCGGGCGGGCGGGCGGGCACTTGACAAAATGATGGGGATCTGTGGTCACCGTCTGCCCACAACTATCACAGAAACCACACACACCCTCAACGATACCCAACCATGGTAGGGAAACTCGAACACTGCCAGCGGGCCCCCATTTTCACAAAGAGCGCCTGGGCATGACGAGAGAGGCGAAGCCTGCTCTCGCCTGGGGAACCCAACCACTCAGCTTCCCAGGAGTCCACGGCAATAGTGCCCAGGAGGGCTCGGCGAATTCGTTTGCGTAAAGGTCGACTCGATCGGTGGTGTGCTGGTTGAACCCAGTCGAAGCGGGTTCACATCCCCAAGCAGCGGCCTTGCTGGCAACTATGTCCGCCGTCGCGTTGCCCAAACACACGAACCGATCCTCAAGGGTCCTGACCGTCCCAGGATTCTGCTCGAAATGAAACGGGGTTTGTCTAATACTAAAAGGACCTACGCGCGCGGCAGCGGCCAGCCGAATAGCCGTCCATAAATCAGCATTCTCTTCAAATGGAGCAAAGCAGTCACAGCGGCCACGAGACCAGAGGAGAAACAGTGGCAAGTGATCTGTGACATCGATAAGCTTCAGAGTGAAAAGGAAAACTCGAAGTTAGGCCCGAGAGGCGGTCTGTCGACGAAGCGAGAAAGCAAGCGACGCCCCCCAAAGAGGGCTCCATCTATACTCGCCAGATTGCTGCATATGACTGCAACCCCCGATACGCAACGCGGCCTCCCCCAGAGCCGCCCCAGAAGGCAGCGACGGATGCACTCGGGGGGCCATGGAGGCACGAAGGGCCCCCAGACATATATAGAACCCTTGCGAGAGGACGCGGGCCTCAAGAAAAGGCAGGGGAGGCGAGCCGACGTGCGGGTCTGGCATCGGGAGAGGCGCCCGCACGAGCACAGAGAGAATCGCTGCGATCATAATCGGGATGGCCTGTGTTTTTCTCACACGGCCAGCAGCGGTGGCCAAGGATCACAGGCTCCACTCAGCATCTCTTGCTGAGCGGGCTGCGCGAACACCCAGCAGCAACTTGTCGTTCGCGAGGCCACTGTCCACCGGTGGCCGGCGTGTCCGTGGCCGACCACATGTCGATCGCCACTCGTTTCTCGCAGCGCTGCAGTTCGCGCGATGCGCATTGCATATCTGCCTAATGTTTGAGATTTCCCGAGTATATGTGTTTGGGCGCACAATGCCAGAACTGCTGCACCTTATCTGAAGGATGATCATCCGGCTGCTCCGCGCAGTCGGCTTGTGCGAAGGCGTCCGCACCATGGCGCGGGAACTGCCGAATGTCAGACCACTCTGCCGTCTTGCATTCCCGCGACTCAAGATATCACACATGTCCACTGACAAGGCGAGCGTAGCAATACTGGCGCCAATGGGCCCTCGCACATTCGACCATATAGGTTCCCCGTCAGCCACCGCAGCTCGGTTCCTTCATGGCCGCGCCAGTCGCATGCGCAGATGGAAATCAGAGCGGCTAGAGCACAAGTTGAACCACTCCTTGACCAACTGAGTAATTCGGTAAATCCACTGCAGGATCAAGAATGCCAGGAGTGCTTGCCCGAGTTCGCATAAGGCAACGGCCTCTTTTGAGACCTGCTAGTGATGTGACCGCCTGGGGCCTGGTGGCCAATGACAGTCTGCGGTAGGGCGCCTCTGCCCCATTGCCCTTTAGCTTTACGTCGGACTGAAGCCCCAAGCCTGATGCGGAGACTGCGCCTACGCTGTCTCTGTGCTTTGCTCCCTCGCACTGCCGTTTTCTTGACTGACATTCATTTGACAGCAGATGCGCCCAACCCCAACTTCGTCGAGTTCGCAACGGATTGCGCCGGGGTGCCCTCCAACATCAACGCTCGCACCAACCTCCTGCCCAACGGGGCAGAGGAAGCCACCGGGGCCGTCTTGTCCGAGATGGTAGGCCTGTGCGTGCTGGCGAAGCCGGGGTGCTAGTTTGTTTTGCATGTTTGTTTTGTTGTTTGTTTTGTTGTTTTGTATGTCCTCCTTCTTTTCTTTATATCTCTCTCTCTCTCTCTCTCTCTCTCTCCAACCTCCAGCATTTCGGTGAAGACTACCTTCCCATCGTAAACCTCTGCTCTGGTCGAGATGTCATCCACTTAGGTGCGGAAGGATGGGGCCGGGAGGATGCGATGGGTATGATACAGCATGGGGTGCAACAACACTTGGCCCAAGTGCCCTATCTGGGGCTGCCGGCAATCCATGACCTCGCGACACTTATCCGCGGGCTAAGCCAGTCCCTTGCGTTAAAAACTCTGAGCGACACGCGCATCTGAATCTCTGCGATGGCAACACTCATGGGGCACTGCACTTGTTCCGCAAACTTACGACGCAACGGTCAAAGCAATGTCGTGGAATTTGTGCACGTCCAACAGCACGCAGGACAGCGCCTTGCCGTTGGCGATCGCCGTCGCGCCCATCAAGTCCCGTGCCATCGACGCTCTGGGCGTCGACGACCCTGAAAATGCCGTGTCCGAAATGGCAGATAGCGCGTCTGACCGCGCGTTCGCTGGGGGCGCCCTGGCCCGTGGCCGAACTTTGCCCGGAATTGGCAAGGGGCCCTCGAGTGGGGCCCCCCCTGGAGGTTTGGAGGCTACAGCGCCCAGGGCAGCGCGGATCTGTGAAAGGCCGCGCTCCTGTCGGGCTTCCAAATGCAAACTCGCAAAATCATCCACAGGGCAATCGTCGATCCCAGTTGCCTTGTTTGCTTGACATTTCTGCCGGCGCTCGATCTGAGTCCTCGATCTGCAATGGTGCTGAGTGATCGGCTCCTGGCGACCTGCAGCTGCTTCGGAGACAGCTCGAGCGATGTTCGCCCCAGTGCCCACCGAATCAGTTCAAGTATATGTCCACTGGTTTGCTCTGCATTGCACGATGCGCTTCGGGGGCAGCCGACCCCCCCGCCCCAGGGATTGGGGCCTTCACGTGCTTGTGTAGACGCCCGGGAGCTTGCTTCCATTCTTGCTTGACCAACTGAGTAAACTGCTTTCGGCCCTTGTCTACAGCTCCAACTTGCGCTCTGCGCGCATGCGTGAAAATGTTGTGCAGAACTCTCCGGGGACCACCTACTTGACCAGGTGATTCATGCTCTGGTCGGGGCGGCGTCTCTGACTTATCGCTTCAGACGCCGCGACCTCCCCGAGAATCCCCTCCTCCTAGCTGGGAGCGGGATCAACGTCGCACTGATGGGGTTCGGCGGTGGTTGGGTGGCCATGGTCAGGGGGGCCAGCAAAAGCGCTCTCTCACGTGCGTCGCGGGGTGCGGGCGGTTATGGGGGGCCCCTGCGGTCCGCTGCAATTCGCGCATCATCCACGTGGCCGATCTCAGCAAAGGGCGTCGAGATCGCCACCCACATTCGCGACCCGTCTGTTTGACTCGCGGGGGGGGCCCCCAGCCCCGCGCGCCGCGGGCCCCGCGTCAGCGCCGCGAGACTCGCGAGGAAGGCCCCTGGCCCCGTGCGCTGCGGACCCCGCGTCGGCGCGCGTTGCAAAAACGTTGCCTCCTCCTCGCGGGGCTCGCGGGGGCGGCCCCCACCCCTGTGCGCCGTGGGCCCCGCGTGGTCCGGCATCGGCGCGCGCGCGCGAGAAACGCTGGCGATCTGGGCTCGCGGGGGAGGCCCCCGGCCCCGTGCGCCGCGGGCTCCGCGTCAGCGCGCATAAGAAAATCCTGGTCCGCGTACTTGTGGGACTTGCGGGGAGGACCCTGGCCCCGCGCGCCGCGGGCCCCGCGCGGGCGCGCGCGA